GCTCACAGGGACCTCCAGGGCATTGCATTTTATAAACTTTATAAACTCTGCCTTTAAAAGCAGTTTGGTTTCTTSTCGCTGCTGCCAGGATTGGGAAGCAGCCCTGGTGGGGAGGAAACTTTTTGGGTTTCCCCTCAAACCTCATCCTCACTCCCTCCTTTGCCAGCTTGGCCTTGCATGATAAGGACACCTCCCAGCTGGTGTTTAACTGGGCCAGCTGGTGTTTGATTCGGGCTGGGCCAACCAGAATGAGGATTTTGAACGAGGTTGTCCCCATTTTGCTGGCGCTGGCRCTGCTCAGATTGAGCTTCCATGAGGAGACAGACCGGGGAAAGTCTGTCTGATTGGGTTTTGAAGTTGTTGTCCCAAATCTTGCCAAGGCTTTGTGGAGTTTATTTGGACGCTGTGCTTGGCCCGTGCTGCTGAGCTGCGAAAGTCTGATCCCGTTGGATTCTCCTGGYTCTCCATCTGCTGCCGAGGGCTTGCAAGGAATGGCAAAAAGCTGCTCCTCAGCCGTGCCCAGGTGTCTGTCTGCCCGGGAGAGGGGAGCAGGAGGTGTGGGGATCTCCTGGCTCTGCTCCCCTCTAAAATCATTTTACAGCGTTTTATTGGTGCCCACAGCTGATGGGGCTGAGGAACTGCTGGATCCAGGCGTGAACGAGCCCTTCAAAGGGGTTCGTGTGTGAGAAAATCTGTAAACCCCTAATTCCGCCAGCGCTTGCTCTGGCTCCGAGATTTGGCCGGACCTTGAAAGCCGAGAATGCAACTTTTGCCTCGCTCCTCYGGCTCCCGGGGCTGTTCCGCCTCTCTGTGCGCTCTGAAACACAGCAGCGCTGCTTTAAAACATCGAGGAAGAGTCGTGTTTGGAGTAAATCACCTTTCCGTGCCTGCTCGGGGAGGAAAAGGCTCYGGCCGCAGGGAGGGAGCGGGGCTGGGTTAACCTTATCAACCCAGCCATGGCAACGCCGGCGAGCACTCGCTCAGTTGCCAAGGTTTCCCGGGGATAATGGGGTCTGGCAGGGAGCAGGGAGCGATTACAGCGATTTCTTTTGAGGGAGCAGCCGCTGAAAGGGAAAACGGGYCCGCAGGTACCTGGGAATCCTGGGGGAGGTGACGCCCTGCGAGCAGGAGAGTTAATTACAGCGGGTTGGGAATTGGGARTTTGGCTCTAGCCAGCTGTTTGATTTTGATTTTTTAATTTTTTTTWAWKRARKWWTTWWAAAMAAAAAAGCTTAATTAATTTCCTATGAAAACAAATTAATCTAGACAYGAGCTGCTCGGCTGAAATCAGCAGGCGAATGAAAGCTGACTGGAGACTTCCTCGTGGGACGTTTTTTATCTTTTCAGGGCTGCGAGGAACCGATGCTTGGTGGGCACCTGTACCGAGCCCAGCTGCAGGTGTGAGGAGCTTTTTCTGCTGCCATGAGCGCCTCAGTTGTCAGCAAGAGCCTCCAGTTTGAACTTCGCTGTTTTTGAGGTAAAGTCAGAATGTGGAGGGGCAGGGAAGGGACTTGGTGCAATGAGGACGATGCTGGAATTTCGTGGGTGGCACAACAAGGGGTAAACTCGGGACAGGACAGTGTTGAGGGTGTGAAACACTGAGCTGCAGGCTSGGGGGATGTTCTGGGTTCTGCACCCCCAGGGAGGGCTCGGCTCTGCAGGGCAGCGCTCCTCCCCTGCGCTGCTGTGCCAAGGGCAGCCAGGTGGACCCAGCTTTAATGAGGTTTTGTTTCACATGACTTCCTCCATCACGGGAAAGGAATGAGCAGGTGGAGAGGTTTTAAAGCAGATTGTGCTCTAGTGATAGAGCTCCCCTTTTAATTCAGAAAAAATCSGGGTAAGAAGCAGAATTTTGGAGTGGGAGGTTTTCTTTCTTTTGCTGTTAGCCCGTGGGCAATGCCCTTGCAGGTGCCCAGGAGCTGTGAGTTTCTCCTGTTCTCCCCTGGGAGGGACTGGCTGCTTGTGCACTCCCCTGGTTTGTTGAGAGGGCAGGAGGGGATGGCTCGATGCTCACTGAGTGCTCCTGACAGAGAATGTGACACTGCAGGAGAGGGATGTTCCAGCACAGCCCAGGAAGTGACTCCCGCGCTGGCGTGGGTTTGTTATCTGGGTGTTTCTCATTTCCACGCACTTCTCGTCCCGTTCTCAGATACGAGGGAAGATTCTTCCCTCCTGAGATAGCGCTGCCATTCCTCTGGCAGCATCCCCGTGCCCGTGAGAGGCAATCCTTCCCCTACAGTCCCCCTTTTCCCCCAGCAGACCGTACCCTGCAGTCCCATTCTTGTTCCCTTCTCGCCACCAGGATTTTCCCCGAGGCAAAGACGCTTTGCAAGAGAACGCTCCTGTAACTATTTCGGGGGATAATCTCTCTGAAGGCTCTTTTGGGATCTGATGGCTCTTCAGGCCGTTCTTTGTTTGCCTCCTCTGTCTGCAGATGCTGCTCAGGGARTGGTGGAGGACAGAGAGCGTGTGCGCTGAGGAGCGAGAGGCACGGCACCGTGACATTGCTTGTTTTCGTTCGGTCACGCTGAGCAAAGCTCTCTGTGAGCCTGGAGAACGCCTCTGAGCCTCTCCTGAGGAAAATGCTCAGCTCATGGGCTCTCTTCTGACTCGCCCTCAGCTGTGGCAGAGCAAGCAAAGCTCTGCTGAGGATGGGCAGATGCTTCCAGCGCCGTTTTGCACCTTTCAAAGCGAGCTCCCCTGCCCTGGCTGTGCTGTGGGGCTCCAGCTTTAATTCCAGAGACCCCCCAGCCACCCCAGGCTGCTTCCCTGGAGCCCTGCGTGGGCTCAGAGTGTGGGCTGTGCCCTTCTTCAGGTGTTCCTGAGTGGGAGGGAGGCACACACGGCACAGTTGAGGAGTAATTTAATATATGCACATGTGTGGGGGGCTATATGTGCAGATAATCACACATCACAGGCTGGGGAAATCGCTGGAAAATCCCAGGTCAGCCATTCTCGGTGAAATTTGTGGCTTCTCTCTGCTTCTAACTCGGTCCTGAGGGTGGGAGTTGCTCCCCTGGGTGTGAGTTGAGTGCCTCGGGATGTGTGGGGAACGTGATCTCGGTGTTTTCTGCTCTTCTGAGGTTGTGAGGAGGATTCAAGGAGCAGGAGGTGCCCTGGCCTGGCTGGGAGAGCAAACCCAGCAGGGCGAGGAGAGAAGCTGGGGACATGGTTCCAGGGTTCCTCCTGGGTCTCTTTCAAAAACCAGCACTTTAACCAGCGTGGTAAAAGCTTAAAAAATAATCTGTAAGGCTTCTGTCTGTCCTTCCTGCCTCCTGCAGCTTCCCCATCTCCTCCACGCCTCACTTYGCTACAGAGTCAGTCTATGCTGAGCCTTCACCCTTTTCACACTCATTTCCCCTCGAGCTGGAAGAAATCCGTGTGGAATTTCCCCTCTTCCCTCCAGCGCTGCGTTTCCAGGCCTTTCCYAGGAAACGGACGGCCGGAGAGGAAGGAACCGGTTCATTGTTTGTGGCTGGCTCSGCTCGCAGGGCTGAGGTGGGGACTGGCAGGACGGAGCTCGCAGCTCCCTGCCCCGGCTCGGTGTTTCTGCACCGGGGAATGTGAGAGCTCAGCCCGGGAGGGAAAATTGGATGTGCTCAGCTCTGAGAGAGGAATCAGGGCCGCCTGGCACGGCTCACAGAGCTCACTCAGCGTGGCAGCAGCAGATTTCAGGGGCAGGCACAGCCCYGCTGGGATCGAGCCTGCAAAAAGCGTTTTCTTGGGAACCCCGGCACAGCTGGCAGGTGAAACCCCTTTGTTGCCATCGTGTCTGATTCCTGCTTGCCAGCCGGCGTCAAACACCTTATCAGTGCCCAGCAGGTGTGGTTTCAAAGCTGGCGAGTGGCTGTGCGTTAATAGCCGGGAATCGCTGCTTTCGGAGCCGCCGAGACGCTCGCTCTGCTGGAGAGCAAATCCCGCTGCTTTAAAAGCTCCCGACATCAAATCTGTTTCGGCATCCACTGAAATCYTCTGGCTGTGGCTGTCCCTCGGTGCTTCCCTTTGGTCTGAGCCGCTGGCGAGGCTCGGAGCCGCTCGGGGGATGTTTGTGAAGTTGGTTCTGCCTGCTCCCATGGGTTCGGCGGAGTTGTCACCGCACACGGGGGATCGCGGGGTGGCCGTGGCGGGGACAGGAGCCCCCAGCGGGAGATTTTTGCTGTCTGAGGCATCAGGGAATGCAAACAAGCTGCCATTGTAGGCTGCAGTTATAAATATCGGGCCATTATAGAGGCATCTCTAATGAAGGAAATGACTTGCCGCTATTCATGCTGATTGTCGCGTGGGTTTTTGTTTGTTACCCCATTAAGAGGTTAAAAAAAAGGCAAGTGTAGCTTCTTTGTGTCCTTCCGAGCGGCTTTCTCTGTCAGAACCGCAGTTCTGGGGGCTCTGGAGGTGGGGAGGCAGAGATTATTCTTACAGACAACGTTTTTCTCTCCTTCGAAATGAAAAATCAGTTCTGACAAAGACTGTCTGGCTTTTATTTTTTTCTTTTTTACTTTTTTCTCCTCTTTGAGAGTACACCATAAAATCCTAACTCCCAACCTTGCCTTCAAGGTATCTGGAGGTATTTATTGGCTTGTGTTTTACGGGGATGATGGTGTGTTTTTATYGCTGTCTGTGGGTGAGAGGCTGGTGTGATGCTGGCGGGTCACCTCTGGTGGCTTTGCTGGAACGTTGGCTGCTCTTTGCTTTTTCCAGGTGTGACCCCAGCCCTCCCCAGGCCATGGCTGACATGATTTTCGGCAGCGGGATGGGYCCCTGGGTTTGCCCCAACGACCGGCAGCTGGCCCTGCGAGCCAAGTGAGTCCTGCCCACCCTCCTCATCCTCATCCTGCACCCCTGGGAGTCCATCCCAGAGCCTCCCCTCGGTGAAGGAAAGGGCTCAAAGGCAGCCTCAGGTCTCCCAAGCGCCCTAAATACAATTGATGGCATCCCCCAGCTGCCAGCACCCTTTTGTTTTAGGGACTTGTCTTTCAATCCCATTTTCCCCTATGTTAAAAATTACTGCATAACCTGAGACTGAAAGGATGGAGATGAGTCAAGCACCAGAGCTGTGTTTTTCTTGGAAGATTTCCTTCCCTGGCTGCTGCCTGAACCCCTGGGCTCAGCTGCTGCTGCTGCAGAGAGTCAGAAAATAGGGGAACASCCCACGTTTTGAGGGGGCTGGGAGCAGGGCACTCCCCTTACCAGCCTGCAGGAAGCAGGGCAGAAGTGCCCGAGAGTGCCCTGTGTTCTCCTCACGGCCATAAATCTATCCAAACCCCTCCTGCACGGTAATTAATTAATTAATTGGGCTGTGGAAGCTCCGAGTGAGCCAAGGAGAAGCATCAGCTGCTGCGTGTGAGGGTTTGAACCTGGGCTGGGCCRAGGGAGGATGCTGCCAAATTGATGTTTCTGTTTGAGCTGAGGGCACTGGGGCTGTGTGATCCCGAGGGAAGAGGCTGCAGGCAATCCCTGAGTTTGGGATTTTGCTCCTGGCGTTTGTGGTGTGTGGCATCAGCTCCCACCTCTGTCCCCAGGGGTGCCCTCTGAACAGGAACGGGGGCTTGGGGTGGTGAAACAGCAGCTGGAGCAGAAAGAGAGGTGAGAGGGTGGGGAGAGACTGCCCTGAGRGGTGTTTTAGGGGTGATGTGGTCAGTGAGAGACCAATCCTGCCTTGGGGTCAGTTACAGAGCAGAGTTCCCTGCCTGAGGCTGTGTGCCCGGGCAGCTCTGGCCAGTGGGGCGGGGCAGGGGTCCCGTGGGGCAGGGTAGAGGGGTCAGTGCTTGTCCTTCCCAGCTGAGCTGTGCCTCCTCCCCTGCCCCAGGCTGCAGACGGGCTGGTCAGTGCACACGTTCCGGACGGAGAAGCAGCGGAGGACGCAGGCGCTGAGCCCGAAGGAGCTGGAGRTCATCCTGGGAGTGATCCGCAGGGCCGAGGAGCTGGACACGGCCGAGCAGCAGCGTGTGGGGTATGGCCACCCTCGCTGTCCCCTCCCCTCCCCAGGAAAGGGCAGGACAGCCAGGACAGCCTGAGCTCAGCCTCCAGCACCCACAGCGTCCCTGGGCTCAGTTATTTCCCTGCCCTCGTCTGGAGGTGATGACCATCGAGGAGTGTCACCTTTGCCTTCTCTCTTCTCCCCGCAACTGCAGCCCTGGCACTGTCCCTGGAGAGTGCAGGTGGCTCTGGGAGAGGCTGGGCAGAGGCTAAACAGTGCCCAGGGTCTGTGTGAGGATGGCTGAGGATCGCTCCTGGCACAGCTTTTCCTGTCCACACCAGGCCCCTGGGGCTCTGCCTGGAGCAGGGAACGAGTTCATGTTCTGCTCGGCTGAGCCCTCTGGATGGGGTTTGCTGGATTATTTAAAGGATTATTTAATTTACAGTCATTCTTCAGCTGCTGCAGGTTCCTCTTTGCTCTCGGTGCTGCTGCAGCTCTGGCCCAAGCTGGGTCTGTGATCATCCCACACTGACCGCCCCTAAAGCCAGGGGCTGGGCAGTGCTGCAGGGTTTGTGTCCGTGGGACAGGGCACCCCAGTGTCCRGCAGGCTCAGCTTCCCCAGGCAGAGCTCAACAGGGACAGGACAGTGATATTTTTGTGACAAAGGAGAGCCCCCAGCAGCAGCAGTGCCCCCGAGGGCCCGGCCGTGCCTCAGTGGTGCTGGTGGAGCTGCACAGGCACTGCCCTGCTTCTCCCAGAGTAAAAAATCCTCTGAAACACCTCTGGTCACTCCTGGGAGCTTTCTTGTGCCAGAGTCCGAGCTGGGAATTGTAAATCCATGAACAATGGCTCTGGCTGTGCAGCCACTGCCACTGCTGTGCCATGGCCAGGCCCGTTTTGGCCTCATGGCTTCGTTTTGCTCTTTGTCCCTCAGTCTGCCCTTCCTGCCATGGCCAAACCTGTGCTGCTCTCAGGGAGATGGAGAAGCAGGGAGGGCTYAGCAGGTTCAATCCTCAGCCTTTCCCCTTTTTTTTTTGGGCTCGGCCTGCTCTGAAAGCTTTCCCTGCCYGCAGGCGCCTGGTGGAGAGGCTGGAGAACATGAGGAGGAACGCCATGGGGAACGGGCTGTCGCAGTGCCTGCTCTGTGGAGAGCTGCTGGGGCTGCTGGGCAGCGCCTCTGTCTTCTGTCAAGACTGCAGAAAGGTGAGTTTGGCTACTCATGGCTGCTCCTGGGGCTGCTGGGCAGCTCCTCTATCTTCTGACAGCACCGCAGAAAGGTGAGTTTGGCTACTCATGGCTGCTCCTGGGGCTGCTGGGCAGCTTCTCTATCCTCTGCCAGGACTGCAAAAAGGTGAATTTGGCCACTCATGGCTGCTCCTGGGGCTGCTGAGCAGCTCCTCTATCCTCTGCCAGGACTGCAGAAAGGTGAATTTGGCCACTCATGGCTGCTCCTGGGGCTGATCTCTGTGGGAAACGCCGCCAGGCCTTTCGGGAGAGCTCTGCAGGGTTGATTTGTTTTATTCTCGTCACTGCTGTCAGACAATGGGGTTTTCTCTCTGAGCATTCCTCAGGATGCCGCAGTGCCTGAGCTGCACTCAGGGCTGGGATGGGCAGTGCCACCCCCTGTGMCTGTCCCAGCTGGGTTTGTGGGGTGGGATAGCAGAACCCGAGAGCTTTGCTGCTGCTCAGATGGCCCTGAGAGCTTCCAGGAGGGCTCCAGCCCATCCTCCAGCTCGCAGGCAGTGGGATTTTTCCAGCCCTGGGCTGTGTGTGACACTGACGGGGACACCCCTGTCCTGCCAGCGCCCCGGGGATGCTCCCTGCAGCTCTCAGCTCCCCAGCCAAGGGTTTTGGGATTTCTGCCGAAATTATGATCTCCACGGCAACCACCTCCTCCTGCCTCTGCCGGGAGCTGCTTCTCCTGCTCTCCAAGCCCGTCCTTCCCTGGGGAGTCACCTCTGGGAGCTCCTCCATCCCTGCAGRGAGGTGAGGGTGCCTGCCGGGCGCTGGGGTGTTTGTGACCCCATAAAACCTTCTGCTTTATCTGGGACCTGCTGGCACCTGTGGGGTGCCAGCTTTGCAGACCACAGGACACCACCTTCTGTGGCCCCTCTGGCTGTTGTGGGACAGTTCCCGTGCACAGCAGGCTGCCCTGAGCTCTGTTCTTTGCAGGAATTGTGCGGCCGATGCGGGGATGGAGCAGAAAATTCCTCCCGAGGCAGTGCCTGGGGAGGGAAACACAAAATCTCAGTAGGAGGAAGAAGGTTTTTGAGGAAGGGCTGTGGCAGGAAGCAGCAGTGGGGCACGGGGAGATTTTTAAAAGTTCAGATTTTTCTCATAGGCACCGCTCCATTATCATGCAGCACGTTTAATTCAATAGCAGCAATTTTAATGGTGCACCTGAAACACAGAAAAGAATTCTGAAAYAGCAAAGAATTCCCCTTCAGCAGGTCCCCGCTGCTGGGCAGAGGTTCTGCATTTCTGGTGGATGTTCTGAGTGCCATTTCCTGCTTTTTTAAAACATACTTTTATTACTTTTATATATATCTATATGCTATATATAATATAATATATAAAAATTGTAATATGTATAATCAATATAACACATATATATAATATATACTTAAATATAATAAATATATATTATAATAATGCTAAAATATAAGATGTATTATTGATATATATTATTTATTATTTTTTATTATCAAAAGCCCTGTGGCAAGACACAGGCGTGAGCAAAGCCAGTTGGCTTTAATACCCTGAATTTTTATGGGTTTTTTTTTTCCGAGGGATGCTCCATTTCCCAGCTGCTCTGCAGGGAAGGAGAGGAGGAAAAGGCCGTTGAAATATTGGGATTTTTCGGGATTTATGGTTGGGAGCTTCCACTAGAGGGAGCGTTTGAATGTGCTATCGGGGTGGGGTTTGGGATCTTGGAGGGTGTTCCGGGCTGGGTTTCTCCCTCAGCTTTGGGGTTGGCTGAGGGAGAGTTTGGGGTCATTTAGGGGATATCTGTAATTGAATCTATAAACCCTCCTTGGTTTGGGGAGCACCAGGGTAAGGATTGATGCACCAGAGCCGATATTGTTGGGATGTTGGGAGGGATGATGAGGATGGGCACAGGAATGGTGGGATGGAGAAAGGAAGACCTTCATCCCTGGCCACAGCAGCAGCCCGGCGTGGGGGATGTGTAAAACCTTCCCTGGGCACATCCAGTGCTCGTGTCTGTCTGGGGAAGGCTTTGCTCTCCTCTTGTGAGAGGCTTTTCCTCTGTGAGGATCAAAGGATTCGCCCAATTTCTCATTCCAGACCAAGAAGCGCCAGCTCCGTTCTGTAATTTTGGGTGATTCCGGTTGTAAACGGCTCAGAATTCCAGCAGGGGCTGGAAAATTCCCTCTTGGAGCAAGAAAATGTGTGGGGCCATGGCCATGCCTGCTCCCTAAACATCCCCAGATCCAGGAGGGGAAATGTGGGGTTTGAGGTCATGGATGTGAAGGAAGGGAGCAGAAAATTCCCCATCTTGCGTTTTTGCCTGGTCACAGCTGCTCTCCACCCCACAGAGGGTGGGGATTGGGATTCAAAGAACCCAAAAATACTGGAAATACACCTCTGGGGGATGGGGTGGATTTGTCCRGCTCTTTACTCACCCTGGAGCTGAGGACTGAGCTGTGGATTTGCCTTTTTCCTGTCCCCACAGACCTGGAGCAGAGGTTCTCCAGGATAAACAGAAAAACTGGGCCATGTTTAGGTTTTTAAGAAAAGCAGAACAGAGCTGTTGCTTCTCTCCCCCAAGAGCTGTGGGGAGTTGCTAACACCGCTTTTAAATTGGTTTTAATTTTTTTTTTCCCTCTCTCCTCGTTCCAGAAAGTTTGCACCAAGTGTGGGATAGAAGCTGCCGGAACCCAGAAACGCCCTCTGTGGTTGTGCAAGATCTGCAGCGAGCAGAGAGAGGTAAAACACTGCTCAGGGGCCACCTGCCCACCCCAAACCTGCCCAGAGCATCCCCTGGAAGGTGGGAAATGGGATTTGGGAAGCTGGGCTGGAGACCAGGCAGGCTGAAACACACACACAAGAGGGAAAATTTTGTTTTGTGAGGGGGAAAAACCACCCCTGGAGCCTGGCTTTGTGGGATTTTTCTCACCATGGTCATAAAGAGTTTCTTCTCTTACACCCTTTTTCCTCCTTTCTCTGTGGCAAATAAACTTGGCTGTTCTTTTTTTTTTTTTTTTTTTTTAATGCAGCTTGAGAGATGTAGAGCATAACTGCAATATTTGTCCCTCTAAAAATAACTAGGATTGCAGCCTTTAAATCTGTTTTTCCTCCCTGCCTGCAGAATCCCATAACTTGCCGGTGTGTGAGACTTCTAATGCAGATCTCTAAATTTTTATGGCCTTCATCCTTGACTTTACACTGCAAAAAAAAGAAAAAAAAAAAAGTGATGGGTTGCCTCAATTCCTGTCTGCCAGCCAGCATCCAGCAGCATCAGGGCTCAGCCTGTGAATTTGTTCTGTGATTACTGATGGATTTTCCTTGTTCCTATCAATTTATTTTGGGCTTTCTCCTGTGGTCTTTGAGCATCAATCCAGCCCAGCTGCTTCTGTAGCCTGGTTGCTCTGGTAAATCAATTTTTTTCAGGTGTAGTGAGAGTGTTTGTGTGGGTGTTAGAGGTTTTTTTTATTATTTTTCCAATTGTTTTGCATTAGTTGTGGGAACTTAGCATTGCTCAGGATTTGCATTTGAGGGTTTTTTTGTGTGGGAGCACCGGAAAAATCAGTGTTCAGCTAAGGTGAGGGACACAGGGATGCTGCTGGTCTTTGAATTATCAGCAGCAGTGTGGGTAGGGCAGGAAGGGAGCATTGCAGCTCYCTGGATTTGGGTATTAATTTGATACTCTGAATCATCCAGATGTTTTGAATTCCAGATAGAGATCCCAAAATAGAGAGCGAGGCAGGTGCAGGTGTTTTCTGTGCACTGCGGGGAAATGCAGGGACTAAAATTTGCTTTATTTCTTTTATTCTGTCAGGTTTTTATATGGATATATATTTTTTTTTAATCTCTCTGTACCACCGTGCGATTTTTTTTCCTATTTGCTAAAAAATAATCAGTAATATTACTGGACAGAGAATATTAACCTGTCCAGCACGTGTTTTGTCTGGTCAGGGTGTGATAGGATTCACATAGAGAAGGTTGAGATGGCTGTTTCACACTCTGAGCTGTTGGGGTTTCATGTTTGTGAAGCTCCTGACTCCCTGAGAGGCTGCCAGGTGCCAAAATGGCAAAGGGAGGTCACTTGGAAACCCGAATGGAGGCATTGAATGCTTTTAATTGGCTAGAGTTAATCAGAGGAGATTAATCAGGGAGGAGAGCCCTGCACTGGGATTGTCCCCTGTGGCCACTGGGACCCCAGCAGGACCTCGGGGTGGTGGCATTGGCCCTTCCAGGTGACAGCCGTGCTCCATGGCAATGCTCACACGTGCTGCAGCTCCCGTTTGTCCACTCTCCACGTTATTTTCCATCCCTGCAAGGATGAATTTGGATTTGAGCCAGCACCAGTCGGSTGACACGTGGCAGCCGTGTCCCCCCTGTTTGCTGCGTGGGCAGGGTCCGTGATTAAACAATCGCCCTGTTGTGATCAGAGTGCACACGGGAATAACGAGCTGTGCTTTCCGTGAGCTCTGAGTGCCCACAGATCCCTCCGGAATCGCGTTCCCTGTTTCCTGGAGAGCCTCATTGGGAGGGGAGGCTGTGCCGCATAGCGATCAGGAGCCAGTTGCCCTGGCGCTGTCTTATTTCTGGAGAGTGGAGGAGGCGAGGGATGGGCTGGGTTTGCTGCTGTTTGTGGGATTCTGCCGTGTCCAGAAGCAGGGCAGGGGATGTGCGGCCCGAGGGTGTCCCCGGAGCTGCGAGGAGAGCGCTGAGCTCTGGCACAGCCTGGGTGTCGCTGCTGGCAAAGGGAACATCCCTGAGGATCCACMGGGCACCCTGAAATAAAAATATTATTTTTTATGCTTGGGGCCAGAGCCCTTGTCCCAGCTGTTTCCAGCTGATGGAAACCCCTCCTTTGTCCCTGCACAGCCTTATTTTGGCCGGTACCACCAGGTTCTGCAGAGCACCTTTCTGAATTACCCCTTTTTATATATATTTTCTTTTCATATATATATCCATAATTAGCGATGCTATCATTGTAATTAAAATCCTCTTGGAAGCATTCGTGTGCATTTCCATTTGAATTGGCACATCCAGAATTGCAGGGATAATAAAAAAATGGTTTCAATAGAGGTGGGGGCAGAGAGCTTTTTTTTTTTTTTTTKTTAAATTCCATCGAATATGAAAGAGAGCGTCAGCTACCAGGGACCTGCTAAAAGTTTTAATTTGCCCCCTCTGCTTCACTTCCTTTTCAATTCCTTCCCCTTCGCTGCACGGCACTTTCATGGCTGGCTGCTTTTCTCAGTTTATCACAACAAACCACGCAGGGGAAGGAGATTTTCGCGGAGGAGCAGAGCCGTCTCCTCCCCTTTTGCCCTCGAGGTTTCCCTTTTCACACATCCCCTCCCACCACTCRGAACATCCTAAAGCATCATAGCTTGGGGTTATTCCTGCCTGGCACGACGATTTCTTGGCAAAACACCCCGCGGTTTGGAGCGGGGGTTTTATTTTGGGTGACTCCGGGTTGAATGGAAGCGATGTGCACCTGTTTGCAATTGAAAGCACTCATCAATAGCCTCTTGCCGTAATTATTTTGGGGGTGGCAGCGAGCAGTTAGACTCAAAAATAGTGTCCTCTAGAACAGAACCACGGGGGGGAGGGAGAAAAAAAAAAACGAGGCCTGATTGAAAGGGGAATGATAAATGGTTGAAGGCTGGCAGCCGCTGCAGCTCGAGAAGCGCCGGGGTCGGCGGGGCGATAGATTTTGCTATTCTGGAAACAAAGCTCCGAACGGGTAATTTCACCGCCTTTTAATTCCCCTCATCGTGGAGCTGCCGGACGTGGGAGTCGACAGCAGATTGCTGTAAATAATGCGATTGGAAATCTCCGCGCTGGGGAAGGAAAAAACGGGTGAATGCAAATCGCGGGGCCGCCAGCGGTGCCCGCAGCGTGCCAGGGCTGCGTGGGAATGCTCCGCGGATGCCAGCACGGTCCTCCCGGGGTGTGCAGGTGCTTTTCTCTCCCCTGCAGCCCACCAGGAGCTGTTTCCCGGCGTTTTGGTGCTGCTGGTGTCACCATGGGGTGTTAAAAGCGGTGATTTCGCCCTGGTCGAGCTGTGGAAGAAAGGGAACGGCTCCTGTATAGTTGGGAGAGCAAAAGGCTGCTTTGCAGCAAAGATCCTCACTGTGCATCTCGGTTTGGTGGATGGAGAGAGCTCTGGGGGGCTGAGAGTGTTGTTTTATTCCCTCAGCTGTGATCCCCCTGTCCATCAGCGAGCCCCAATATTTTCTCTGCCCAGGAGCTTCTTTTAGCATGAGCGTGCTCAGGGAAATTGGAGCAGTGGGGTTCACAAGGGCCCAGGAATTCTCTGTCAGGTCCCATCTCCACCTGCAAATGCTCGATAAAATCCCCGTCTGCCTCTGCCTGTGGCTTTAATGGGAATATTATCGGGGTTATAAAAGGCATTTATCTGTCACGGCCATGGCTGTGGTGAAATTCCAGCTCCACCCAAACTCACGCTGCCGCGGGGAGTGMATTTCACCTCAACACGAGCCGGTGGGAGCAGCGCCCTCCCCTCCTTGGTAAAAGTAAACTCCTGCTAAAAAACGGGAATTTTATGCTCGAGGTGCTCTTACAGAGTTATTAATTTAAAATCAAGCAAGAACTTTGCTGTCAGGCCACTCGGGCCATCAATCAAACGCCATCAATAGCAGCCAGCAGCATCGACCTGTTTTGATCCACGGATGCTCCGAGCGCCCCCGGAGCCCTCCTGCAGGACAGGACGTGATCCGTGGYTGTGCTGCAAACCTGGAGGGGCAGAATCCACGGGAGAATCTCCTCCTGCAGCTGTTTCAGAGCCGCCTTCAAACCAATTTCACCCTAATAGCGCCAAACTCTATTAGCAGCACCAATTTAAAGGGAACACGTATGCAGGGAATCGATTTTATCGTAGCGCTGCCACGCCAGAGCCGGCTGTGCTGTGCCATTAACCCTTTCTGTACCCACTTTCTTTGGGGCAGTGGCAAAACTTGGGGTGTCCAGCCTCAGTTCCAGCCTCCCGTGCTGTGCCTGATTGGTTTTATGGCGCGCCTAAATTGGAGCTCGCCTAGAGATAATAGGTCTCTGCAGTGCTTCAAATTAAATTACAGATGTTGCGAGGTCTGTTCGGAGTGTGGCTCCTCCACAGGGCTGTTTCCTCCCCGGCAGTTTATCCAGGGTTTATCCCTGAGTTGCAATGGTCTGAGCTCTGGGCAGGAATATCTATTCCCCAGATTTCAGAAATACATCGCGTTTTCCCATCCTTGGAAACCAGAGCCCGTTCCTGTGCTGTTGCACACCCTGTGGCAGCTGCTGTGCCAACAGAGGGGACAGCAGGAGCTGTGCCAGCAGAGGGGACAGCAGGAGCTGTGCCAGCCCGTGCTGTGCCTGGCTGGGTCACTTTGGCTGCTGGCACCATGCTGAAGGAAGCGTTCTGCCTGCCAAAACCCCCTCTGAGGAAGAAGATCTTGCAGCCTGGAGAAATGGGCTCCCCAGCTCTCTGCCTGGATGGCAGGCTCTCCATCCCGCCGGGCTGTCACCCAGCAGGAGAACGTGGGTGTCACTGCGGGGTGCTCTCCCCTCCCAGATCCCARACCCCGCTGGGATGCACGAGCTGCTCCTTCGCACGTGTGCTGGCTCACAGCCATGCTCGGCTTCTTCTGATATTCTAAAARCCATTTCACCAGCTTCCCCTCTGAATTCTGAGGGGAATTGTCTTCCAAGACCCCAAATACAGAGATYTGAGCTCTCTCTGTTGGTGGTTCTGGACTGGGAGCCAGGCAACCATCGGTGCTGGTGCCCTGCTTTTTGTGCCTGCAGGAGARCARCTCCTGAGTGCCAGGTGTTGGCACTGCCCTCTGCTTGGATCCAGCTCTAAATTGCAAAAGTATTGCTGCAGTCAGGGATATCTGCATTTGCACCCATGGCCATCATGGTGAAACTGTGGGAAAAATGCTTTGGAAGCTTGGAGTGGAAGCGCTGATGATCTCTGCTCTGAACAGAAGAGTAAGAAATAAAAAATGATATTTTTACTGTGTTAACTTTTRCATTTTTTGCCCTGGCTGTGCCATTAGCTCATTATCAGGCTGCTGGAAGGCACGCAGGAATTAGGTTTGTAAGAGGCCATTTCTCCCTGTCTGAGCTGCCACCCTGTTCCCTTCCCCTGGCTTACAGCAGGCTTTATATTAAATATACTTAATAGAGTGCCTTCATCATGAGCTGCATTAAAGCCAAATTGGAGAGGAGAGGCTGTTCTTAGAGGAGATATTGCAGTTTAGTGCTCCAGGTCCATTTCCTGCCGCAGGCTCGGGTTATTTGAGYGCCGCTCTCCTCCTTCTGGGGCTGTTACACGATCGGGCTTGGCCTCAATTGCTCTGTGAGATGAGCACCGGGCTGGTGCTGTTGGTGCAGCACTTCTGTCACCCCATTCCCCTSTTTCTGCTCGATTTGGGCTCTCAGGAGCAAAGGGACCTGGCCCAGGGGGACAGATTTGTCCTTTGCTGCCCCATTGCTCCTCCTGGCTCTCTCCAGGGAGTTTTTCTTTGTGTGCATCCCCGGTGGGAGAGCAGCAGATGCGGGATCTGGACTTTCCTGCTGCTCAGGGAGCTTCATCCCAGCGTGGAAATGCATTTGGCTCAGTTGTGGCATCCAGTTGTGATCCGAAAAATATCAGAAAACTCTGCACCATCACCTTCTGCTCCTCCTTCAGTCTGTACCTGCTCTTCCTTCACAGCTGGGATTTTTCAGTTGTTCAGGAAGAAGGACCGGGGTGAAGCTGGGCTGACCAGGAYTGGGGAGGAATTTGGGATCAGAGGGAGCAGCTGGGTGGGGCTCTCATTTCGCTATGGCCGTGCTTTCTTCCCTGCAAAAACCCATCTGAAGGCGCGGTGTCCGTGTCTCTGGCAGGTGTGGAAGAGGTCCGGGGCGTGGTTCTACAAAGGGCTGCCCAAATTCATCCTGCCCGTGAGGAGCAGCAGAACCCCGGAGCTGCAGCCCCAGCCCTGGCAGGGCGAGGGGATGGTGCCAGAGCCGGACAGCGCCGGGAGCGGCCGCTCCTTCCCCTGGGCCAGGGTAAAAGGTTGGTTGTGCCACCCGGGAAGGAGCTGGGAGAGGAGCCTGGCTTGTCCTGGTGCTGCCAGGGGCCAGCTGAGGGGGAAGCTCAGTGTTAGAGGAGTTATTCCACAGGATGTGCTGCATTTCCCACGGGGATGTTGCAGTTTCGTGCTGTGGCAGATTTTTTCAAGCTCTGTCTGTGCTCCCCATCCTTGCTCTCCTCCATCCCTTGCACTTTTTGTGAGATGARCCATGGAGCACAYACCTGCCTGCAGAGYTCCAGGGATGGTGCCMTGAGTGGACATCACTGCACAGCCAGAGCTGACCAGGGCTGGAGCCATCCCCTCCTTCCTTGAGGCTCCTTCCTTCTGCTGCTCTGCTGGGCAGATTCCTCCAGTCACTGTGAGATTTTTTTCCAGAAATTACTCTGCAGAATCAGAGCTGCTGCCCATCCACTTTGATTTCTGCTCTTTTTTTTCTCTCTTTGTGGATTAGCAGAGCTGCCTGGCCTCTCTCCCTTTTGCTGTTAGATCCCCTCAGTTGGAGAAGGCCTCTTTGAAGCAGCTGCCTGCACTCTTCCATTTCTCAGAAGCACAAGGGGAAATAACCTTTTAATAAAGAAACCTCAGGGGAGTTGGGTTTACAAAGCTCCTCTCCAGGGCCCAGCTAGGAAAGCACTCCCAGCCCTGCTGTAACTTTTGCAATTAAAGACAAAYTAGATCAGCAATGGATGGTTGTGTTCCCCTCCAGGAGATGCTTGGAAGAAGTTGTGTGAGCAGAGGGACTGATTGATGAGGTTGTTTTTTGTTCACATGACAGAACAAACATTGAAAATTGGAGCTGTTGAGAGCCCAGAGCTGGCCTGCTGATTGRTGCAGCTTTTCAGAGTTTTTGGAGAAGGATTCCCCATAAATCCAGGCAGGAGCARGGGGAGGAGAGCAAAGTGACCTTTGCTCAGCTCTGATGTGAGCTGCCCATCTCCCTGCCCTCCACGTTTGCCCGGCTGCTGTTTTGTGGGTTGGGTAACATTATTTATGCCTTTATTTCCTGGTGTTTCCTTTCCCTGTTKCCCATTTTTGAGGCTGCCTGAGGTACCTGCATCCACTGCAGGAGGGTGAGGAGGCAGCAGGGCCAAGGGAGTTCAGGAATAGGGTGAAAATTCAACCCCACCAGGCAGAACTTTTATTTTTGCACCCCCGGCGTTCCTCCCGCGCTCGCTGACACCGGGGTTCGCCGGTGCCTCTGATTTTTCTGGGATACACAAGGAGTTGCCATGGGAACCCTGCTATTAGTTAAGGCACAAATGTATTGTCAGGAGAACAGCAGCACCGGGCAGCAGCTCTGGGATTCTGCAWGGGAGCAAGGGCAGCAGGGCTTTCCCTCTTCCAGGCTTGAAATTCTGCAGGAAAAACTCAAAACTGGAAGATCTGCCCTCARTGGGACACTGGGCTGGAATAATTCTCATAATTTCTGAATTTCCCACCTGCACTGATCGGGAGCTGTTGTCCTCCCTGCCTCCTGGATTCCATATTTGCCAAAAATCCGGTGYTTTTCCTGTGTTTTTGGCAACCCCAGGAAGTGCCAGGCTCTGTGTGTGCGGGGCTGAGCTTGGCCAGCTCCTCCTTGCCAGGTGCACACGTTCCATAGAAATAAATACATTTAGTGGAACTATACACATTTCATGGAAATGCACATATTTAATGGAAATGCACATATTTAATGGAAATGCACGTTTAATAGAAATGCACACATTCCATGGAAATAAACACATTCATGGAAATACACATATTTAATAGAAATGTACACATTCCACAGAAATTCACACATTTCATAGAAATGCACACATTTCATGGAAATACACATATTTCATGTAAATGCACACTTTTCATAGAAATGCACACATGTAATATAATTTACACATGTAAATACACAGGTTACATGTAAATGCACATATTTCATAGAAATGCACACATTTAATGTAAAT